CGAAAAAAAAAGAACCCATCCTTTATTCCCCCCTCCCGCTTTTCTTTCTAGGCCATCAGCAATTGATGAGGAAAAGACAATTGATATTAGTCTTAAATTTTGTCATTCTTCTATATTCTATATTTCTATAAAAAGTGTTAAACAAATGGCAAAAGTGCTTGTGATTCGACGACTTTCATCACGTGAATCGAACAATAATCCAGCTGAAGAAGTTCGGATAAAAGTTTGTATAAAAGTTGGTATAAAAGTTTGTATAAAAGTTTGTATAAAAGTTTGTATAAAAGTTGGTATAAAAGTTGGTATAAAAGCTTGTATAAAAGTTTGTATAAAAGTTGGTATAAAAGTTGGTATAAAAGTTGGTATAAAAGTTGGTATAAAAGTTGGTATAAAAGTTTGTATAAATGTTTGTATAAAAGCTGGTATAAAAGTTGGTATAAAAGTTGGTATAAAAGTTGGTATAAAAGCTCGTATAAAAGCTCGTATAAAAGCTCGTATAAAATGAGGTTTTCTAAAGCTCACCTTTTTCTTTCTAAAGCTTTCTAAAGCTTCATCGATTCGAATGTTTACGTGCAGGGGACCCTTGAAACGATCTCTTATTGAAACTTTACTTCAAGAAAAAGCTACTAAAAGCTACTAAAAGCTACTAAAAGCTAGAAAAAGCGATCAAAATTGAAATGATTATGGTAGCCTTTTGCTTTTCGAAGCGGAAAACTGTCGTTCTTTTATCTGTGGTAACCGTTTACGAATGTGGGCATTTCCGGGCATTCAATCAAAAAGTTTTGAACAGAAAAAATGTTTATAAAACATCTATTTTATAATAAATTTTTTAAAATTACCTTATTTGGTTGGGTAGAAAATTTTTTTTTGAGCTTCCAAAGTTTAGGGCAAAAGAAATGCCTTAAAATGACTATAAAAAGTTTTCTACTCAGCCAAAAAAAATTGATTCATAGCTTATTTTGTAGCCAATTTGATGTAGATTTTTAAAATAAACCTACATTGAACATTTGTTTTTCAAAACTAGCAGAAAGAGGGCGAGGAACGACTTCCGTTGAAATCGGTCGCTGTTTTCACATTTGAGAATTGACCTGAAATTGTTCCTCGTCCTCTTTCTCCTACTTTCAACGAGCAATTGTTTCAGATGGCTTTACTTTCAGAATCTACATCAAATTGGCTACAAAATAAGCTGTTAATCAAGTTTTTTTGGTTAAGTAGAAAACTTTTTACAAACATTTTAAGGCATTTCTTTTACCCTAAACTTTGGAAGCTCAAAAAAATTTTCTACCCAACCAAATAAGGTAATTTTCGAAATTTATCATAAAATATATGTATTATAAACATTTTTTCTGTTCAAAACTTTTTGATTGAATGCCCGGAAATACCATTTATTGTTTCGTGATGGTTGAGTTTCGTAAACGACAACGACAAATATATTGGGAAATTTGAAAAGAAGAAAAATCCCTATTCCAATATCAAAATACGCCTATTCAAAAAAGGTTTCCTTTTCTCAAAAAAAGAAAAAGCTCGCCTAATAATCTAATCGACTAGTTTTTAAGCTAAAACACGACTTTGATCATATTCAAAATTCATGCACAGATTAAAGTAGCCTTGAATTTTCTAGTTATTTTAGGTTAAATACCATTTATTGTTCCGGAAATACCATTTATTGTTCTGGAAATACCATTTACTCTTTCGTAATGGTTGAGTTTCGTAAACGGCAACGACACACCCTAAAAAGATGCTTTCTGTAAAGGAAATTGTGAATTATTTTTTTGTTTTTTTTAAAATCCATTCAGTTATTGATCTTTCCCTTATTGACCTAAATGTTAGCTCTTTTTTCTTGAATCAAATCGACACAAATTCCGATAGAATGAGGGGGAAAACTCTTCGTTTTAAGAGACACAACATTTCCTCATTTTTCCCTCCTTTTTCCCTCCCTTTTCCCTCCTTTTTCCCTCCTTTTTCCCTCTTTTTTTCCTGCTTATTGGTGTCAATTCCTGTGATAAAACCTCTAAAGAAAAACATTCAAAAATCATTTTTTGAGGAATCGATTTCGAAATCTCAAGATTTTCTTCATACCAATTATTGACATTTCACATTGACAATTATTGACATCTCTTCCAATTATTGACATCTCTTCCACGTGACAATTATTAACATCTCTTCCAATTATTGACATCTCCTCCAATTATTGACATCTCTTCCCGCAATTCATTGGTAGGGTTTTAAATTGATTTTTTTTCAATGACTACTTTGAAGAATGAATCATTTCCTTCATCAGATATACGCATTTTCAAGAAATCGAAATTTATAATGCAAATTTCCGGATTAAATTCGATTTCATTCAATCATTTCTTTGTCACTATTGGCTACTCTTTGTCACTATTGGCTTAAGAAATGAGTGTGCTAGAGATGGCGCGTTTATAAAGGATTTGTCCTTAATTGCTTAACAAATAACTGTGCTAAAGATGGCGCTTTTGTAAAGGATTTGTCACTATTGGATAGAGAATTTACAAGTAAGCCTGCTAGTGATGGCGCTTCTGTAAAGGATTTGTCACTATTGGATAGAGAATTTACAAATAAGTCTGCTAGTGGTGGCGCTTTTGTAAAGGATTTCTCACTATTGAATAGAGAATTTACAAATAAGTCTGCTAGTGGTGGCGCTTTTGTAAAGGATTTGTCACTCTTTGACTAGAGAATTTACAAATAAGTCTGCTAGTGATGGCGCTTTTGTAAAGGATTTGTCACTATTGACTAGAGAATTAACAAATAAGTTCTCTAGTCAATAGTTTGACTCTGCTTGGCGCATTTTGTGGCAAAAAGTACGGTCTTTTATTTGGAGAAAGATCAAAGTCTTTCAATTAGGGAAATACGAGATTTGAGAACATTGATAATGATAAAAGAAAAAGGGAATAAAAAGGTGTTTAGATTTGAGATTTACTGGGATATGAAAAGGGGGATAATCGAGAAAAGAAAAAGGAATATAGGTCGTATCTCATCTCGAGATCTCTCGACTCCAAGAAAGAGAGAGATTTTGAAATTTTTGATAAAGAACAGGTTCATCCAGTTTGGTTACAAAATCAGCTCGTACTTTCGCTACTCTAACAAAAACCCAAATCTTCTAGCACATTCTCGTAATTGGAGAGAAAAGGACTTGCTAAACTGAGCATAATGATGTGCTAAATGATGTGCGTTTGCAAAATTATTAGTCTAAAGCATGGTTTAGAAAAGTTAAAGCTTTAAGAATGAAATTTCATCTATAGATCAAATCTCATCTATAGGCCATATTCAATTATTTCATTAAATTCATTCACCGCCCGAGAAATCCGCCAAACGACGGGCTTTGAGTTTTTGAGTTTTTGGGCTTGGAGGGATTTTGTCGTCGTGGAGCAGTAGATAGAAAGCCGGTCTATCGCCCATACGATCCGGGTTCGACCTCGACGTGCGACACGAATTGTGCTTTTTAAAAATCCAAAAACACGTTGCACAACTACATGTAATTCCCTATTCAACGGCGCAAAAATCATTGCAAACGGTACTATGGGGGCTGAGGAGCGCGCACAGAAGGACAGACAGACAGACAGACGAACGGACAGACAGATGGACAGACAGACGGAGAGATAGGCGGACGGACAGACAGACGGAGAGATAGGCGGACGGACAGACAGACAGGCAGACAGACGAACAGACGGACAGACAGACGGCGGAGAGACAGGCGGACAGGCAGACTGACGAACAGACAGACAGACAGACAGACAGACAGACAGACAGATAGACGGAGAGACAGGCGGACGGACAGACAGACAGACAGACAGACAGACGGACAGATAGACGGAGAGACAGGCGGACGGGCAGACAGACAGACAGACAGACAGACGGACAGATAGATAGACGGAGAGACAGGCGGACGGACAGACAGACAGACAGACAGACAGACGGACAGATAGACGGAGAGACAGGCGGACGGGCAGACAGACAGACAGACAGACAGACGGACAGATAGATAGACGGAGAGACAGGCGGACGGACAGACAGACAGACAGACAGACAGACGGACAGATAGACGGAGAGACAGGCGGACGGGCAGACAGACAGACAGACAGACAGACGGACAGATAGACGGAGAGACAGGCGGACGGGCAGACAGACAGACAGACAGTCAGACGGACAGATAGACGGAGAGACAGGCGGACGGGCAGACAGACAGACAGACAGTCAGACGGACAGATAGACGGAGAGACAGGCGGACGGGCAGACAGACAGACAGACAGACAGACGAACGGACGGACAGACAGATAGACATATAGACAGATAGACAGACGAACGGACAGACGAACGGACGGACAGACAGATAGACAGATAGACAGATAGACAGACGAACGGACAGACAGACGGACGGACAGACGTTTTAGTTCCTTTATAGATAGTAGATTCCCTTTCAAATAGTCTCCCCAACCGTTCCTTTCACTAATAGGTCATCCCTGTCTCTTCTTCTCTTCTCTTCTCTCTCTGGAAGGCTTTATATGCAAATTTCTCTTCTTATTTGAATATCCTTTTCTCCTTTGTCTTTCTTTGTCTACCATTTTCCCCTTTTTAGATCGGAAAGATCGGAATTTCCTGTCAAAATTTTCCATTTTCCCATTTCCCCCTGAAATCCTCGCATTCTTGCCCTAATTGAGAGCTCTCGACTAAGCTTTTGCATATTTGAGAACCTTTATTCAAATCTTTCCCTTTCGTATTCACTTAATATTTTACTCATTGAAGAAAAAAAAAGAAACTGGTAGCAGGTCGGTTTTAGAAAGTTTAAGCGTTTAAGCGTTTTGAGCGTTTTGAGCGTTTAAGGCGTTTAAGAGATGAAAATCTTGTGTAAAACTAGAGTTTTATGTAGGTAAAACTAGAGTTTTATGGGGGGTAAAACTTCATAAAGTTAAAAGGTAAAACAAATGAATCAAAAAATCAACAATTTCAAATCACTAAGCTCAACTCAAATCTTTATTCTTCAGAACAATCGCTACCAGAGTATGGATGCAGAGGATCTGGGCAAAGAAAACATCGTCATCGTCGAGTTTTTAGTGCGTTTTTTTTTGTTTGTTTTTTCTTTGAATCCATATTTCCATATTTAGCTAACATATTTCAGGAGAAAGAAGGCGAACCGTCCACCGAACAAGTCACTTTTAAACCCGGGCAAAGCTTGGACGAGGCATTGGAAAGTAAGGGAAATTTGGAGTTTTTAAAAAACCTAGAGCTCTGGTATACTGATGTAAAAGAAATTGGGTAAATGCGAAAAAAAAATCGTAAACTTATTGGGTGTAAAGTGGAATTGTTTGTTGAATAACGCTTTTAGAAAGCTTTTAGAAAGCTTTTAGAAAGCTATCATCATCAAATCGATCATTCATTTGTCATTCATTTAACAAAAAAAAGCTTTTCTTTCTGAAGCTTTTTCTGAATTGTTTATATATAGTGCTTGCGTTGTTTTTGATCCACGGCCTTAAAGAACTCTTGGTAAGCTAAAATAAGCTGGTAAGTGGTGGACTTATTTTTAAGGAAACCAAATTGATAGTTGAATTGAACCAATCGGAACCAAATTGAACCAATCGGAGATAAGTTCATACTTATCAAGATGAGCTGTAATTTTATCTTTGATAATAATTCCAAAGAATTGTTGTAATTAATAGGTTGATGCATAAGTCTTTTCGTTTTTTTCGTACTTCTGTTAAAAAGTAACAAATTCACGAATTAATCTATAGTTTGCTCTATAAAAAAAGTGTTTTTTTGTTCAATTTGCATCTTTTTAAATGAATTTCGGTTCACTTTCAAGCAAATTCGAGAGTGAAAAACGCCTTTTTCGTAAAAATCTCTAAAAAACTCTACGGAAAAATTGGCTGAATGAATTTCTCTGAAATTTTGGCGAAATATCAAACGTTTTGTTTTCTCTATCTTTTATCTATTGACACGAAGATAGGTTTTCTTTAGCTAAGGTGTCTAAACCGCATCATCGATTGGGAGGGGGATGAGCGGTAGGGGGTGAGGCAAGCGGGGCAGCACTAATGCAAAATCGGCTGCAAGTAAATCAAAATCTCCCAATTCTCACAATTTTTTTGTGTGTGCATTCCAACTAAACAAAATACAAAATCTGAACAAAATTGGTTGAATGGAAAAAAAGTTATAGCATTGATCTCTTTCGTTGCTCGTATAAAGCTCTAAAACAAAGTTATATAGAAGAAAAAATGCGAAAATTCGACAATAAACATAAAAATTGAAAGATTAATTTGTAGCTAGCTTTAGCTAAGGTGTCTAAACCTAAGGCTAAGGTGTCATCGAGTTAGCCCTTTTTGACTACCCGACTTCATACTCTCAAGAAAATCCAGGCATTAAATATTTTTAAACCCGTTTTAATGTTATTTTGCAGAAAAATAATTGCTTTTTCTAATGAAATCAACCGTAGTTTAATTGGTGCATTTGTTGGCTTGAAACGGCAGACGAAAAGGAACAAAAACACTTATGCATCAACCTAATATAATGTTATAATTGAATTTGTGTTGAAATTTCTCAAAAATTCTCCCATTACGTCATGAAAACGGTGGGTGTTTCTTCTTTTCTTTCTTTTCTTTTCAAAGAATGATAGCTAAACCTAATAGAAAGCCGAGCGCTGAATCCGGCGGCTTTTAGTCGCGGGGAAATGTAGCGTATAGGAATTTTCTGTTTTTTCAAAGAAATTAGCTTCAATAGATCTCTCTAATGAAGAGAAAAAGGATAAAAAAGAATAGAAGAAAATAAAAAAGAATAAAAAAGAATAAAAAAGAATAAGAAAAAGATTTTTGTACAAAAGAAATCAAAATTTCCGGCTAAATCACGGGAAAATCTCTTGATTTTTCTGTTCATTTTCAGCCGATTCAGCCAAAGAAAAAAACGATTCGATTTCGCTTTCGAATTCTCCCGAATTTCCCCTCAAGTACTCCACTTTCAAATTCAGAAAAAAGGAAAAAAACCGGGATTTTGTAGCCGCGGCCACGTATTTTTCCCACGATTACCTCTCGAGAATTTCTGTTTAAGGGGAAATTTCTGTTTAAGGGGAAATCTCGCCGACCTTTTCGATGGAACACATTCCTTTCTTTTCTTAACTCAATATTTATATTCTCTAGCCTCATTTTTTTTTTTCTTCTCGTTTTTTTCGTATTCTTTCCTCAAAAATGTCTTAAATGGACTCCTCTCCAAAACAGCAAAGACGAATCGCTCTTTTAAAGGGGATTTTTGCGAGAAATGGTTAGTTTTTAAAGGTTTAAAAAGGTTTTTAAGTGTTCTTGAAGGTTTTTAAAGACTGCTAAAGATCTCTAAAGGTTTCTAAAGGTTTCTAAATGTTCTTGAAGGTTTTTAAAGGCTGCTAAAGATCTCTAAAGGTTTCTACAGGTTTCTAAAGGTTTCTAAATGTTTTTAAAGGTTTTAAAATGTTTTTAAAGGCTTTCTAAGGATTTTTAAATGTTCTTGAAGGTTTTTAAAGGTTTCTAAATGTTTTTAAATGTTCTTAAAGGTCTCTAAAGGTTGCTAAAGGTTTCTAAATGTTTTTAAAGGCTTTCTAAGGATTTTTAAATGTACTTAAAGGTCTCTAAAGGTTTCTAAATGTTTCTAAATGTTTTTAAAGCCTTTTAAATGTTTTTTGAAGGTTTTTAAATCTTCTTAAAGGTCTCTAAAAGTCTCTAAAGGTCTCTAAAGGTCTCTAAATGTTTCTAAATGTTTCTAAATGTTTTTAAAGTCTTTTAAACGTTTTTAAAGATTTAAGAAAGAGATTTTTGTTTAAAACAAAACACGCATAAAGCTCAGAATTGTTTTAAATCATAGATTTTTGTGTTTAAAAGCGAAAAATTTCGGTTTCGAGAAAATCCGGTAATCAAAACAATCCGTTTTCTGAGCGAAATATTGGGTTGGGGAGAATGAGTCGGCGCCGAAAATCAAAAAAATGTCTAAAACTTCTATTCGACTTCGTCAAATAATATGCGTTTGATATGAGTAGAATGGTTAACTAATTCTCTACAAAATGACATTTAAAAGAAAATTCAAACAGCGCCTCTGCTCAATAAAAAGCCATTTTTTCACAAAAACTACAAACTGTGATCTAGAAAAAACCATTGGTGGGATCTTCCTGCAAATTTGGCAACTTAAGTAATTGAATGTGCTCTATCTTTTTTATATAAACACCAAAGAAGGTTTATGTGAAAGAAACTGTTCAAATGATGAGTCGGACTCTTTGCCATTTTAACCAGCTGCGTTTGGAAGTTCATAAACCCCACGAAAGAAAAGCTTTGTGGAATCTCTCAAAAGTGATTTTGTAGAGAAATAGTGGATCCTTTTGATGAAACCAAACGTATGTTTAAAGAAGGCTTTATGTGTGCAAAAAGTCCCTTTAAAGTTTGGCGCCGACTCATTCTCCCCAACCCAATAGGTTTTAAACTGTGATTTTTTCTTTTTTAAAGCCAAATAACACTTTTCAAAATCGGGAATTTCCAAATTTCCACTCGTTAGCGAAATTTGTATAATGAATAAAAGGAAAATAAAAAAACACACAAAAAAAGTCATTAAAAAAAGTCAATTAAAAAAGTCATTAAAAAAGTTCACAAAATTCTTTAAAAGTCCACGGAATTTAAAAGTCTAGTGGTAGCCATTAAATTCGTTTAATCACCATCAAAAATCAAAATTTCTTTCTTTTTTCCATTCAATTACAAGCTAATCGTTCAAATCCGGTTTAAAATCAAGCAAAGAAAAGAAACTAATTATTCTTTTTTTTTCCAGAATTTGTCTGAGCCTTATTTGTTTTGGATTTAAGAAAAATCCCTCATTGATTTAGTCGAAACTTTCAAAATCCTCCGTTGTAAACAGATTAGCCCTTTGTTTATAGACTTTTTCAAATTTAAACCGCGGTCAGGGCCCAGAAGTGGCTCATTCCTTTTGCAAATTCCCTTTGCTTCCAATGCCTCTTTATCAAATTCATTTCCCGTTAGAGCCGCTAGATTATGGAACTTGCTCCCAAACGACATACGAGAAATTCAGTCGCTTTTCATATTCAAGAAACGTATCGATGCTTTAGATCTAGTGGCTCTTTGCCGTAAGTGGTTTTTTTATATTTTTTTTTTGGTTAATTTTTTCTTTGTTATTTTTTTTATTATTTTTAAAAAAATTCTATATATTGATAATAAAAAAAAAAATGAAATAAAAAAAAAAATAATTAATAATTTAACCCCCCCAAAGACAAAACTCTTAAGTCGACCTGGGGCAGATTAGAAAGAAATACGTATTTCAATGGGGTGGAATTTTATTTTAATTGGCTTATTGATTTCAGTATGTATTGTATGATTAAGTATCACTGTGCATTTCTCTATCATTTCTTTCACTTTATCGTTTAAATAAAGTATTATTATTATTATAATGGCCTCTTTGTTTTTCTGTTTTCTCTTTTTTCGAGGCGTAAATCTGGCTTTATTATAAATACTTTATTCAGAAAGAAATAAAGTGCGAAAACGACATGAAAAATGTACTAGATAAAAGATCACATAAAGAAAAAATATAAAGATAAAAGATCTTTTCTCCTTTATGATTTGATGAGCACGGAAATTTTGTTCTTCAATTTCATTTTACAACAACAAATTTACTGGTTTCCTTTCTTTTCGAGAAACTCCATCATTTCTTTTTTCATTAAAACATTTGAATTTTCGCCTTTTTGCCGATTTGCAATCGTATAAGCCATCTAAGTTGTCGTAGCCAACCGCCGGATAGGAGTCTTGTCTCCTAGTCGGGCGTTCGATCTCGTTCGATCGTTGGAGATTCGATCGAGGTGACCAGAAAAATATCGTTCTTTTTCGTTCCATCATTATGAGTTTTGTTTTTCTTAAAAACATTTGGGTAATAGGGGTAAATAAGGGTAAAAATAAGGGTAAAAATTTCCTTATTTGATTAATTGATTATTAGTGTCGAATAAATATTCACTATTGGATTCAAAAGTTGAAGTCTAAAAAGTCTAAAAAGTAAACTGAGTAATTGTAGATAAAAAGTAGATAAAAATGAACTTTTTTTGTTTTACATAAATGTTAACAATTTATTATTTTATTATTATTTTTAGGTCGTTTACGTGAAAGAGGAGTCTCTGTTGAGGGAGTCGCTTTCTTTGTTGAGGTGAGGGTTGAAAAGATTAACTTCAAGATAAACATCAAGATAAACTTCAAGATAAACTTCAAGATAAACATCAAGATAAACATCAAGATAAACATCAAGATAAACTTCAAGATAAACTTCAAGATAAACTTCAAGATAAACTTCAAGATAAACTTCAAGATAAACTTCAAGATAAGCTTCAGGATAAGCTCAGGATAGGCTTCAGATAAGCTCCAGGATAAGCTTCAGATAAGCTTCAGGATAAACTTCAAGATAAACTTCAAGATAAACTTCAAGATAAACTTCAAGATAAACTTCAAGATAAACTTCAAGATAAACTTCAAGATAAACTTCAAGATAAACTTCAAGATAAACATCATTCTTTATTTTTCAACATTACAGCTTTATAGGCTATGCTTTAACTAGGCTAGGCTATGCTAGGCTATGCTTTAACTTTAATAAGTAAGGTGTATATTTGTAAGTCTGATAGGCTTTGTGCTCAACAACTGTGTACAAACGTGGCCTTTCTGTGCCTTTCTGTGCTTTTTTTTTTGGAAATGGCAAATTCAAATTGAGAAATAATAAAAAAAGAACTCTTGCCACTAGTGCCAAAAGGGTTTTTGCTAGATAGCCGTTTCTATATCGCTTTCTTTGTTGCTTTCTTTGTTGAGGTGAGAATTGAAAAGAAATACTTTAAATAGCTGCCTCTGGAGTAAGGAAAACTAATGCCTTATGGTGTAATAGTTAGCACAGTTGACGGTTAAGCGAAAGGTCGTGGGTTGGACTCCCGGCGTCGCCGAATTTCTGATCGATCCTAGCTTCAACTCTTCAAGATAAGCTCTTTCTTTATCCAGCCAGCCAGCCAGCCATTTTTCATTTTGTTTTCATCTCAGTCAGTCATTTCATCAAGTCTTTTTCAACTTTACAAATGTATAGGCTAAACTTTAAACTTTAATAAGTAAACTGTACTTGTAAGTTTTGTGTGATCGAGTTTGTGCTCAAAAACTCTTTAGAAACGCCTCATTTCTATGCTTTTATGTGCTGTTTTTCTCAAATGGCGAATTTAAATTAAGAAATAGCAAAAAAAACGTATCACTAGTGCTAGATAAGATGCGTTTCTATATCCAGCATTGAGCACAAAGCACAAAGCACAAAGTACAAAGTACAAGTGAAACACACCATTTCTCTGGCTTTCGATTCAACATTCGATAAGTAATTATTTAGAGAATGCTTAAAGTTAAAGTTAGAATCGAATTCTAAGCAAAAATTCGTTTGTAAAAGAAAATTGTAGAATAAAATTGTATTGGGTTGAGGCATAATTATCCGGACTTCCTTTTGCGTGCTTGTATCTTGAAAGCTTTTGTCATTTCAAATATCGTACTTTAGTGAACAAAAGCGTGCGACAACAACCACGCCAAATGCCTACCACTCGAAAAGGGATGGTCTGCCGCAGAGTCGTTTCGCGACCAAAGAACTGAGCCCCAACGGACTACCACGTCAATCGACGCCAAAAATTGGCAAACAAATAAGATCACAACGTGGATGACTTGAAGCGATGTAAGCGGGATTGCCTCCAAGACGTTTATTCTCGCTCGGGATCGACGTCTCCAGAAATGGCAACAGATTGATGTAGGCGGTGAATATGCCCAGAATAACAAAAACATATTTCAACTATTATGTATTTTTGTTAAACATTTAAAAGAGTCCGGTAATTTTGCAAACCCAATAGAATAAAAGTTAGCGCAACTTTCTTTTCTCAGCAAAAAGTAGAGAAATCGATTGGTTTTAGGGTTCAACGACTCCACTTCCCGAAGGAGCCGACGCACGAAATCTTCAAGGATACAAAATACTTGTGAGAAGTAAGTAAAGGGAAAAAGTTGTTGTAAAATGTAAATCGTTAACTTTAACCATTTTAACAAATTCACGAGATTTGCTCCATCGAATTGCCTATTCATAAACTCTAATTATTCATTAATAGTTTATTCATTGATTCATCTTTTGAATTTACACAAAATATCAGTAAAACGGCGAACGCCTACGTGAGTGTACGCTTAAAATAATGCCATCGCGAAAAATTTCATGTCTTTGAGTTTTTCTCACGAAATTTTTACTTTTGCATTCGTCAATCATTTCAGAATTTGCACAGCACATAACACAAAATACAAAAATTTTCTTCTTGAATTTGGATTCTTTTATTTATTTATTTCTTTTCTTCTTTCTTTCTCTTCTTCTTCCTTTTCTCCTTCCTTTTCTCCTTCCTTTTCTTCTTCCTTTTCTCCTTCCTTTTCTTCTTCCTTTTCTTCTTCCTTTTCTCCTTTCTTTTCTTCTTCCTTTTCTCCTTCCTTTTCTTCTTCCTTTTCTCCTTTCTTTTCTTCTTTCTTCTCTTCTTTCTTCTCTTCTTCTTTCTTCTCTTCTTTCTTCTCTTCTTCTTTCTTCTCTTCTTTCTTCTCTTCTTCTCTTCTTCTTTCTTCTCTTCTCCTTTCTCTTCTTCTTCTTTCTTCTCTTCTTCTTTCTTCTCTTCTCCTTTCTCTTCTTCTTCTTTCTTCTCTTCTTCTTTCTCTCTCTTCTCCTTTCTCTTCTTCTTCTTTCTTCTCTTCTTCTTTCTTCTCTTCTTTCTGTCAATTCACGGTTTTCGAAAAAGTTTTTGATTTTTCGATGTGAAGAAAGGGATAAAAACCAGTATCCACTTGGAGAAATCCCTCAAGGAGAGAAAAACCTGAACATTGAAGAGATTTCCCTTTATTCCTTCAAAAGTACTACTAAATATCAAAAAAATAGAAAATCTACATAGAAAAAAATGATTTAAAAAATTTTCTATCATAAATCCTTTCTAAAAGTAAGAAAAAGCTTTATACAAAAATTGACATGAAATAGAGCTTGATAGAATTGTCACCCAGTGTAGTTGTTAGCTAAATAGCTCTACATAAAGTTCTAGTTTTTAAAGAATTATCTTTAAGAATTATCTTTTCGAAAAGGAATCTCCTCGAAAGTTTCCTTATGGAAATCCCCTTCACTTTTCCCCTTTTCACTTTCCTTTTTCCTAAAAATCCCATTTCTTCAGTAGTCTTCAACCTTCAGTTTTCGATTTTTTTCCCTTCATTCCTTCTTTTCTCTCTCTAGATCTTTTAATATTTGAATGTATTTGTTAATGATTATTTTTTTATTATTTTTAAAAACTTTAACATAAGAACTTATCGTAAATGCTGTATCAGAATGAAATGTCATGAAATATGTCGATAGCTCCAATGGTAGAGTGTCTGCCCGGTAAGCAGAAGGTCGACGGTAGAACTTTTCTTTCCAAACCTAATACTAAGATCTATTAAGATCTATTAAGGTTTATTAAGGTTTATTAAGTTCTATTAAGATCTATTAAGATCTATTAAGATCTATTATGATCTATTAAGATCTATTAAGTTCTATTAAGGCCTATTAAGTTCTATTAAGGTCTATTAAGTTCTATTATGATCTATTATGATCTATTAAGATCTATCATGATCTATTAAGGTCTATTAAGATCTATTAAGATCTATTAAGATCTATTAAGATCTATTATGATCTATTAAGATCTATTAAGATCTACTAAGATCTATTATGATCTATTAAGATCTATTAAGATCTACTAAGATCTATTAAGAAAAGACGTACTAAGCACCATAATTATGATCTTTATGAACAGAAGGATTGCGGTGGTATTAAGTATCAAGACTATTAAGATCCATAAAAGAAGCGCAAACGAAATTTCAATGTCGCCAACCTAATATTAAGTTCTATTAAGGTCTATTAAGTTCTATTAAGATCTTCTTCTATTTCATTAATTCTAATTTCATTCTAATTTCATTCTCTCATTGTGTCAGCTCTAATAAAGCAATAAAGCATATTTGGGTATTAAAGAAACTGCTTTTTATAACCTTTTTTAACTGCTTGATGTTTAAGTCTCTTTTGAGCATTATAACTTTGGACATTTAACAACTTTAACTTTGAACATTTAACAACTGCTTTAACTGTTTAAGTGATTCAGTCATTTGCTCTTGACAGGAATTTCATTTCATTTCATTCGAATTTATTATCTCAGAAAAAATATTTAGTTCTTCTTTGACTTTTTTTTCATAATCGACAAATCTTTGAAATCTTTGAAATTTTGAAATCTTTTAAATCTTTTACTTCACCCATTTCCCTAGTCAAATTTCCCCAACTCTTTTCTTCTCTTTTCTTCTCCTTTTTCTCTCTTTAAATTACCTCAAAAAGTGTCCCCATCTGGCAAATCATTTTGAATGAAAGAAAAGAAAAGAAAAAAATGATGACAAATTTTCCGCTTTTTTTTCTCTTTTTCACATAAACCCTCCCAAAATCGGCCTAATTTTGAGAATTTTTGAAAAATCTTTGAGGTTTTTAGATCAAATTTTCAAATTTCCAATTACACTCATTGCTTTCAAAAGAATCACATCAAATCCTTATCGTTTCGATCTTTCAAATTTCATCAAAACACTCGAATACCGTATTCTCTCTCTCTCTAATAATAGTGCACCGTGAGCGTCGCCTAAATTCCTTTTTCCCTTTTCCTAAAGAAAGGAAGGAAGAAAGGAAGAAAGGAAGAAAGAAAGGAAGAAAGACAGGAAGAAAGGAAGGAAGAAAGAAAGGAAGAAAGACAGGAAGAAAGAAAGGAAGAAAGGAAGAAAGACAGGAAGAAAGACAGGAAGAAAGGAAGGAAGAAAGAAAGGAAGAAAGGAAGAAAGAAAGAAAGAAAGGAAGGAAGAAAGAAAGGAAGAAAGGAAGAAAGAAAAACTCGAAAATTGTGTTTAATTTAGAAATTCTTTTGTTTATTTTAAGTGAAAGAGAAAAAAAGAAATGAAGAGGAGTCAAGGTGATTGAAAGGTGATTTTTCTTTTTCTTCTTTCTTTTTCTTTCATTTCATTCGAACATTGCCTACATTTTGACGGATTTTCCCATCAGAAAATACGATAATTTGAACATTTTCTCTCTCTAATCCCTCACGCGTTTCTTTGACATTTCAGTTATTTTCTTTTTCCTTGTTTACAAACATTTTCAGATTTTTGTCTCTTTGTTTTTTCTCTTCAATTTGACGTATTCAAGAGTGTTAATTTAGGGATTTGTGAAAGAGATTAGATGGGTAAAACTCCTGAAAACACGTGACACACAAGAATCTCCCGTTGACACAAGAAATTACTGAGTTTTACCTCTGCAAATATTGAAGTTTATTCTGAAACTTTTAAGAATTATGAATAATTGTAAACTCTTTATGCTTTGTGCTTTGTTGAACACTCATTTTCTAGAAAACTGAAATGAAAGAAAAGAAAAAGAAGAACGAAATGAATGAAGGAAAGAAATATAGAAAGCTATCATTTGCATCGAGCACAAAGGACACATTAATGGATAGATAGTTTTCAAAATTCAAAATCTCTCTCTAATTCATTCATTTTCTTTTGTTATTTAAATCTATTATCTAAAGAAATCTATTATCTATTATCTAAAGGAAACTTTGCTCAGGTTAATCGGATGAAAATTCCAGAAAATGATTGCGAAAATTTGAAAGAAATACTACAGACATTTATTTTGCCTTTTTTCTTCTTTTTTCTTCTTTTTTCTTTTCAAATTCTATTGTCTACACCCTTAATTTCTTTCTTTTCTTCTTTCCTTCCTTCTTTCTTTCTTTCTGCCCTTCTTTCTTTCCTTCTTTCTTTCTTTCTTTCTTCTCTTCTTCTTTCTTCTCTTCTTCTTTCTTCTCTTCTTCTTTCTTCTCTTCTTCTTTTTCTCTTCTTCTTTCTTCTCTTCTTCTTTCTTCTCTTCTTCTTTCTTCTCTTCTTCTTTCTTCTCTTCTTCTTTCTTCTCTTCTTCTTTCTTCTCTTCTTCTTTCTTCTTTCTTCTCTTCTTCTTTCTTCTCTTCTTCTTTCTTCTTTCTTCTCTTCTTCTTTCTTCTCTTCTTCTTTCTTCTTTCTTCTCTTCTTCTTTCTTCTCTTCTTCTTTCTTCTCTTCTTCTTTCTTCTCTTCTTCTTTCTTCTCTTCTTCTTTTTTCTCTTCTTCTTTCTTCTCTTCTTCTTTCTTCTCTTCTTCTTTCTTCTCTTCTTCTTTCTTCTCTTCTTCTTTCTTCTCTTCTTCTTTCTTCTCTTCTTCTTCTTCTTTCTTCCTCTTCTTTCTCTCTCTTCTTCTTCTTTCTTCTCCTTCTTCTTTCTTCTCTTCTTCTTCTTCTTTCTTCTCTTCTTCTTTCTTCTCTTCTTCTCTTCCTTCTTCTTTCTTCTCTTCTTCTTTCTTCTCTTCTTCTTTCCTTCTCTTCTTCTTTCTTCTTTCTTCTCTTCTTCTTTCTTCTCTTCTTCTTTCTTCTCTTCTTCTTTCTTCTCTTCTTCTTTCTTCTCTTCTTCTTTCTTCTTTCTTCTCTTCTTCTTTCTTCTCTTCTTCTTTCTTCTTTCTTCTCTTCTTCTTTCTTCTCTTCTTCTTCTTCTTTCTTCTCTTCTTCTTTCTTCTCTTCTTCTTTCTTCTCTTCTCTTCTTCTCTTCTTCTTTCTTCTCTTCTTCTTTTTTCTTCTTCTTTCTTCTCTTCTTCTTTCTTCTCTTCTTCTTTCTTCTCTTCTTCTTTCTTCTCTTCTTCTTTCTTCTCTTCTTCTTTCTTTCCCCCTTTTACTTTACTCTTTCGATAACAATAGAGATTCCGAAAGCTTTACGTCTTTCTCTTGCCTTCTTTTGTCTTTCATTTTTGAGTTTCACTTTCAACAAACCATTTCTCACTACATTCTACTTAAAGAAGCGATATTTTAGTCTAAAATTAATCTAAAATTAGTCTAAAATTGATCTAAAATCTCAAATTTATCAATTGCCTTTAAATTTTTCAGCTTTCGAAATGATTTAAT